AGCAGTCAAGTGCCTTAGGCACTATGCTACCAGAGCTCCTAGTTGCCATCAAATCGGCTCTGACTCATAGAGATTCTATATATAACAGCATGAAACACTGCCTGGTCCTGTACTGGCCTCATAATCTTAGCTATACCTGAGTCCACACTATTACGAGAGAAGTCATTGCTATTTATTTAAAAATTTTAGTGAATAATTAATATTATATCTATGAATCATAAGGAAAATGCTGGAAAGAAAATTCTATAACATTACCTCTATTTTGTGCTGTTCTTTGTGTTAATCTGTCCTCTCTAGAGAAACAAAACTACTGAAGCTTGTATATATCTCTATATATCTTTCTGTCTAGCTATCTATCTATAAAAATTGTTTATCTCAAGGAAATGGTTCACATAGTTGTGGAGGCTGGCAGGTCTCAAGTGCGCGGATCAAACATAAACTTCTGGAAGCTGCTCCTGACTCACGTAGTGGCAGAGGCTGATGAACCAAGGCCAGCAGGTAATACAGCAGGCTGCTGGCTTCAGAGACTAAAGAATCCAAGATCAGCAAATAAGATTGCAGGCTGTTAGCTCACAGGCTGTAAAGGCAATGGTTTCAAAATTGGCAGGCAACATGGTAAACACTGGTTCAAATCCAGATGATGAACCAGATACAGGATATAAATCAAGCCCCAAACGAGAGATCTTTGCCAAGAAGTCCACATAAAGGAAACAGGCCACAGCTCTGAGGAAATCTCCTTTCAACCATATCTAGATTGTCTGCTCATAGTATATCTCATCATGTAGATGACTACATTATATTAGATCTCACCATGGAGGATGACTACATCATAACTGCTAAATGGTTGAGAATCATGGCCCAGACTAGTTGAGACACAACCTTATATTTCACGTTGTTCTTAGATGCTGAGTTGGCTCTGACTCACATAAACCCTATGGGCAACAGAAGGAAAAACTGCCTGGTACTGTGCCATCCTCACAAGCATTCCTATGTTTGAGTGCATTGTTGCAGTCACTGTACAATTCATCTCTTTGAGGGTCTTCCTCTTTTATACTGACCCTCTAATTTACCAAGTATGATGTCCTTCTCCAGGGACTGGTCCCTCCTGATAACGTGTCCAAAGTAAGTAAGATGAAGTCTCACCATGTTCACTTCTATTGATGTAATGTACTTCTTCAAACCGAATTTGTTCATTATTCTGGCATTCTATGCTATATTCAGGAGCTCTGGTGGCATAGTGCTTAAGGTATTTGACTGCTAACCAGAAGGCTGATGGTTCAAACCTACCAGCCACTCCTCAGAAAGAAGTTGAGCAATCTACTTGCATAGTGATACTGCCTCAGAAACCCAAGGAGGGGTCGCTATGAGTCAAATCTGACTTGACGACAGTGAAATGCTATATTCAATATCTTCACTGCACCATAATTAAAGTACATCAATTCTTCTACAGTCATCCTTATTCATTGTCTAGCTTTCACATGCATAACAAACAATTGAAAACACTGGCTCTTGGGTCAGGGACACCTTAGTCCTCAAAGTGACATCTTTGCTTTTTAACACTTGACACAGTTTTTTTTGCAGATATCTGTACAATATAATATATCATTTGATTTCTTGTCTGCTGTTTCCATGGACATTGATTGTGGATCCATGTGAAATGAAATCCCTGACAACTCCAGTATTTTCTTTGTTTATTACAATGTTACTGGTCCAGTTAAGAGAAATTTTGTTTTCTTTATATTGAGGTGTAATACATGCTGAAGGCTCTGCTTTTTGATCTTTATCACTAAGTAATTCAAGTCCTCTTTGCTTTCAGCAGGCAAGCTTGTGTCATCTGCACGTTGCAGGTTGGTAGAGAGTCTTTCTTCAATCATGATGCCATGTTCTTCATATAGTCCAGTTTTTCAGATTATTTGCTCAGTATACAGATTGAATAAATACAGTGAACAGATACTATCCTGATGCACACCTTTCCTAATTGTAAACCATGCAATGCCCTAGTGGTACAGTGGTTAAAGTGCTCAGCTGCTAACTGAAAGGTCAGCAGTCTAAACCCACTAGCTGTTCCAAGGCACAAAGATGTGGCAGTCTGCTTCCATAGAGATTAACAGCCTCAGAAACACCATGGGGCAGTTTTCTTCTCTCCTGTACTGTAAATAGAGGTGGGATCAACTTGATGACAGTGGGCTTTTGGAATATACCCTTGCTCAGTTAAAATGCTTCTTTTTCTATGTATAGGCTCCATATGAGCACAATGAAGGGTTCTGGAATTTTCATTCTTCAAAATGTTACTCATAATTTGTTGAATGCTTTTGCTTAGTTGATAAAATACAGATACCCATCTGCCTGATATTCTCCACTTTCAGCCAAGATCCATCTAATATTAGCAACCATATCCCTTGTTCCATGTCTGCTTCTGAATCTGGTTTGAATTTCTAGCACTTCTTTGTCTATGTACTGCTGCAACCATTTTTTTAATTATCTTCAGCAAAACTTTACTTGCATGTAACATTAATGATATTGTTTGATAATTTCTGCATTCTGTTGGATCACTTTTCTTTGGATGGGCACAAATATGGATCTCCTCTAGTCTATTGGTCAGGTAATTGCCTTCCAAGTTTCTTACCATGAACGAGTGAGTGCTTCTAATGTTGTGTTGGTTTATTGAAATATCTCAGTCAATTTCTGGAGGCTTGCTTTTTGCCAGTGCCTTGAGTGCTGATTGGGTTTCTTCATTCATCACCCTCAGTTATTGGTAATACACTACCTCCTGAAATTTCAGCATCTTGTTCATAGAATCCTTCAATATTCCAACTTGAGGCCTGAATTTTTTTCTTTGTTTTTTCAGCTTGATAAATGCTGAGCATGCCTTTCACTTTCGGTTTTCTAACTACAGGTCTTTGCACATTTCATTATAGTATTTTACTCTGTCTTCTTGAGCCACCCTTTGGAATCTGTTCAGCTCTTTTACATCATCATTTCTTCCATTTGCTTTAGCTACTCCTCATTCAAGATCACGTTCCATCATCTTTCTGACAACCATTTTGTTTTTTTCTTTCTTTTTAATTGTATTTTACTTTCTACATGTATGATATCCTTGATGTCATTCCACAGCTTGTCTGGTCTTTGGTTAGTGTTCAATGTGTTAAATCCTTTCTTGAGATGACCTCTAAATTTAGTTGTGATATTCTCAAAGTTGTAGTTGTTATTACATATCTTAGATTATGCTATTTTCACAAATTTTTAAATATTTGCTCTGCTTTCTTATGAACTGCCTTTTTTTTTTTTTTTTCTTTTACACATTTTAAGTTTAATTTCTGGTGACTACCATTACCACTTCCTCATAAATTTCTTCTTTGTCTTACAAATGACTTCTAACAGTTTTCTGATTCTATTTTGCTTGAAATGACTCAATAATTTTATGCCAATTTCAGAGATAAAAAAGCAGATTAATAGTGAAGCAATTTCTACAAAGATCCATATTACCATAAACATCTTAGACTCTTCACATAATTGAAAGTACATATATATCTTTCAAATAGTAAGAATATTTTTAAATGAATCCACAAATGATAATGATGAACTTTGAATTTGAATTTCTGTTTTACTGAAATAGTCTCAAAATATGCATTAAAGAAAGTTTTCATAAGCAGAAAAGTCAGTTAGTACAAATTCCACTATTCAAAGTTGGAAGATAACATTAATGTAAAAAAGTTATAACATAGATGAAGAATGGTAATGCATTTCTATTATATATTATAAAATACTAACACTAAAGTTCACATAGTCCGAGACGACAGTCAACAAAAATGTTTTAGTGCTGGTATTCAATCAGATACTCCACTAGACTATAAGACAAGCAATTTTATGTCTCAAATTTATTGAGAACTAGTTGCTCTGACTAAATCTTGGAATGATTTAGATTTAATATTCATTTTTTAATTGTGAGGATACTTGTATTTTAAAATTAAAATATAATCTGAAAGATAATGCTAATAGGAGAAACTAAGCATGTGTATTAAAACATAGTTGTACATTTTTCTGTTTACAAGTCAAGAGTCATCTGTTAAATTATTGAAAGAAAGCTGTTCTGATTTCTGATAATAAATTTGCATACCATACTGCATGATTGGGAAATGTAGAGAGAGTTTTAAAAAGCACTTCTGTTTACCAATTAGTTTAGCATTTGTGGTTGAAAGGGGATATGGGACATTGACTGGCATTTTTATATGGTCATAAATATGAATATAAAATAGTAACGTGCTCTCAAGGTCAAAGGAAAATGAGCCTATAACTTATAAGAGTAAAAGTTAGGGAAGTTACAAAATATAAAATCAACTCATAAAAAAGTCTTTTTGCAGTCATAAAATAAGAGCATTACTCATCGGTAGCAGAAGCTGTTTTGGGATGATCTCAAAGTGTGTTTGATAACACACTTTGAGGGTTCCACTCCCTCTTACTTTTAAATTAAAAATATAATCTTACATAATGTAGGTGTCTACATCAAGAAAAGGATTTATCTGATAAAAATAGTTAGATTATGTATCCTTATTGAGTCTTAGCTTTGGTTAAATATTTAAAGTAGCATTTTGTTGTTGCATTTTTTCTATAAATCAAATAATCTCTCAAGTTTTCAGGAATGTTATTGAGTGTTATGCACATATTTTATTATTACTAGTAGAATATTTATTTATTCTAGTAAAATCTATTTGAAGTAGTTTCTCATTTGCTGATTAAGATAAAGAACCTTGAAAAACTATAAAAGTATGTGTTATTCCTGATGAGTTCTTTAATGAATTACACTTTGTGATACTGACCTTACTAGGTTCAGAATACTAAAAAAGGTTCTTATAGGGATTATGCTCTTCACTTTCCAAAGAAAACAATAATGTATCTTCATTAGTTAAAATTATTTTATTTCCATTATTTTATGCTTTATATATAATTTACAGAGATATATTTGTTAAAACTTCCATGCAGATAGACAATTATTACATAGTTATTTTTAACAAAAAATAAAAATTAAAAAAAAGTTTTTACCTATATTGAAAGAATGTAGCCATCACAATGGAGCATATCTAGGCTAATTTTGTACAATACAATAAGTATCTTGGAAAATGTAAGAATATAATAGAATGGATAGGCATAAACAAAGATTCACTGTCTAGCCTTTATTGGCCTGTATGTTAGATATTATACAAAATATCCAAAAATCCCAGAGTGGAAAGGTTTTGTTATTATCCATATTTTCCTTTGTCATCTTTACAAATAATTTGTATATTTCTATGAATAAAATGAACAATTTAAAACATACTATAACTCTCTGGTAGCATAGTGCCTAAGGCACTTGACTGCTAACCAGAAGACTGGCGGTTCAAACCCACCAGCCACTCCTCAGAAGGAAGATGGGGCAATCTACTTCCGTAGTGATACCGCCTCAGAAACCCAAGGAAGGGTCGCAATGAGTTGAGTCCGACTCGACGGCACATAACAACAACAACATAACTCTATTGCAGAATGTCTTTTGAAATATTCATATGGAAAAATAATTCTCTGAATTAGGCAGTCTGGGGGGTATAAATATTTATATTTGTATTAAGAGGAGCTAAGGTTTTTTTTGTGTGTTTTTGGTAGCAATAGTTTCATTTGAAGAAATGCTAAATCCCATCAATTTATTACATCCCTAAGTAGCATTTTTATCTTTT